TTGCTGCCTGGCAATAACTGAAGTGAGAGCAGTTTAAATAATTTGGTTCCATCAGTGCCTTTCTGCTGCTTTGCCTCACGTATCTGTACATGTGTGATGAGTAATTCACTACTCTTTATCTTCCTATTCAGCCACTAAACATGGGCAAAAGGTGATTTTTTTTTTTTTTTTGGCAATCTGAATATTTTCACTCCAACTTTGTAGAAGTAAATTAATGATATAACATCAATTTTTCTAGTTAAGAGTTCCTTTTCTGTCTCAGGACTTAATCCATCAATATTCCCATAGAAAATAGAGGTCTTCTGTGGTAGCTGTGTTCCAGTTCATTACATGAATAGTGTTAAGGAGACCAGAGTTTTCTTTTCATTACTCTTACTGAAAAGGAGCATATTGTTCCAGGAGTAGCTTAGTCTGTGGTGCTGTTCTTTGACAGATCTGTGTAAACCTATAGTAGCTTCAGCACAACAGCCCTTGAATTCTCCAGCTGTATTTTATAACCTGAAATGATGGGCTGGGACATAGGAGGCTGAGAGAAGCAGACTTCATCTTCATTGCTTTGATCTTGCAGTTTGCACTGTTCAGTATTAATTGGAAATGCCTACAATGTCTGCATGAGTTCCAGCCATAAACTAAACGAATGTAAAATGTGTCATCTTGAACTTCAATGTGTACGGGTTTTATTTTCAGCTTATAAAATCTCTGAAGTTTAAAATACAGAAATTAAATGAAACCCTGCTAGAAGCTAATGAAGGCTACAAAAAAATGGCAGAGGAGAACAGTCAACTGAAGCGCACGATCATGCTCAAGGTTTGTCAATACTTTAAAAGCAACTTTAATATGGCTTGTATCTATAGTTGTACTGGATGTTTCTGCATCTTTGTATATGTAAAACCACCATTCAGTCTTACTAATTTTTTATCTCCCTAACTTCCTGAATTAAGAACTTGGAGCCCTTGTGTTTCACTCCTTGACTTTATATGTTTTAAGAGAAGACTAATTTTTAAACTGAAGTGATAGACTCAGTCAACAGGGTAACTGTGCTGACAACTGTTGCTGATCTAAAGATGCCATGAGTTATTGTCGAGCAAAGAAAATACTACTTGGAACTCTCATCATGAAGTCTTTTGCTGAGACCAAGCAAAGTTCCAGTGTACAAGTGTTAGTGCAACAAGACCTAAGGATCTGTTAAGGCTTTAAAGCTATACTGACAGGCTTGCGGAGGTGGCCAAGCTGAATAAGAGATATGGGCAGGTTACTTAATACTGAAACAGAAATCTTTCCTTAAGAACCAGGGACTTCATAAAGTTGACAGCATCTGACCTCAGATATCAACTAGATTCCTAAATAAAAAAATGAAGGTTTTGAAATCTTGACACTTTGCATCTGTCTCATTTGTAATTTGCAAATGAAGCAAGGCAGGTATGACTGCTTAGTGATATTTTCCTTTGAACATTAAATTACCTTCTGCATGCTTTTTAGTCTTAAGTCTGAGACTGAAAATTGTTCATCTTGAACTTTGTTTCTTTGGTTCTAAGGCATAGGAAGGTGCCTTTTTGTTAACCACAAGGATTAGGGAGCATCTTTCAGTCTCTATTCTGCCCACTCAAAGCATTTATTCAGTCCTGCTTAGCAGATTTATGACTATGATAAGAGTTTTGATTTTGCTTTCAGTAACTGCAGGTTAAGACAGGAAAGCCTTCTTTATTTGGTTCCTAGAACAGCAGCAATCATTTGCATATTGTGGCCAAGCATTTTAGCATCAGCTTTTTAGATAACTTCGTCTCTGATAGCCCCATAATTTGCTCTTTTCTAAATTACATAAAAGTAATTCAGAAGAAATTGGTATTGAATAGCCATTTGGCATAGTAATAACAAGGGTGTTTACTGTCATAATAAAATATTCTGAAACAGAAAATTAACTACATGAAAAGACCTTGGAATGTTCATGTACCTAACACAGCCTTATCCTCATAGGATCAAGAAATGAATAGTCTTCAGAACTGGGCTAAACGTGTTCTGGAGCTTGAGGAAACGGTGTCTTCCCTGCAAAAAGAACTCAATGAACGGAAAAAGCCTTTTTCTCTAGAGGAGGCAAAACAACAAAAACCCGGGAGAGGTTTGTTGGCTAACTTGAAATCGACAGTAGCAGCCACTGCTAGTACACCTCTTGGTAAAGGTTGGGGAAAGCATGAAGATGCCTCATCCTCTTCAAGAAAACAAATAGTGTTGGCTTATAAAGCAAAAGAATAATATTTGATTAATCAAGGAGTGCAATTACTGGACTTCTTTATCAATCTTGAACTCTTAGTAGCTTTTTCTTGCTCTTAGATGCCATCTTCACTGTCATGTTAACTGACAAGAATGTTTAATATGGAACTTCTTAAATTGAATCAGGGTTGAATTTAGAGCTATATAAGTTTAGATCTAAACTTGTGGTTTTATTGTTGATACCGGGATGTGATTTAAGATATATATAATTTTAATTCTTTAGTAACTGCTATCATGGTTTTCTATACTGATAAACGTGTGATTCATGCAAATTGGGATGTTCCTCATCTGCTGCTTGTTACCTTTTTAAATTAAGTATTTCATTTCATTGTTGTTCCCAGAAATCAGGTGGCTTGTAAACTTAATCTCAGGTGGTTAAAATAGCTTGGTTCTTCAGTTAATATTCTGGTTTTGACTTCGAGACTGCCATCTTGGGACCAAACTGAGCAAATTGCTAAGAGGCAACAAAATGAGGTCTTAGCTGAAAAATAGCAATGAGTCAGCTAACTTGATTTTGTAAAGGAGCTTGATTTTAATATAACTTAAATTTCTACTAAGAATATGTATTAATCTTTGAAAAATCTATAATAAAATTTTCCATTGCCAAATTAAGCTCTGACTGTTCATTTCATAAAGGTGAGAAAATCAGTGAAATAAAGATAAGGAAAGATCATACATTTAGAGGCCAAATGATAATGACTGACATAGGATCTTGAGTTGAAAGAATCATAGCTCTGATTATATTACTTACCTTTATCTAGTAACTCAGGGAACAGACTGGAGCATGGTAAAATTTGAAATAGCTTTCTTAGAGCCATTTCAGTCAGAAAAAACCTCCTCCCCTCACTGACTACCGTGAAAGTACCGTTCCTGTAAGTGCTGGAGGATTGCTTTAGAGCAAGGCAGAATCCATAAGTAAATTGTATTCATTAGTCCCTGTAATGCTGTTTCTATTTCTCATACCGGAAGGGGACCCAGTTCAGAGGCATAACCTCACTCTCCCTGTGGAGACACTAGGTGGTGCAGCCTTCCTGTGTGACGCTGGGGACAGCCCTCTGGCGTGACTGTTGCCAGGTTTTTTTGAGTTTTAGGTTGGTCTGTGCAAATGCAGTGATAAGTAATCGCGCTGTCTTTAACCAGGCTGTAGATGAAGCACCTGAGCCAGTGCTGTTCTCATGTTTTGAACTGTTCCTGTTAAATATTGGTTATCTGGCTCCAGTAGTTCTAAAGGCCTATGATCCCTTCAGGGTAAAATTTCTAAAATATTATTCTATTCCCACACAGACTAGTCCAGCTATCAAAATACTTTGGTGTAGTGAATACAATGCACTGAGTGTTGATCCCTTGAATATGAAAGCTGTTCTCTAAGAACAGCAATATTCAAATATCAGAACAGGCTAATGCTGGAAACTTGCTGTAATACCATTTCAGATGATCTAGTGCTAAATCTTGAGAGTTTGTGACTTGTCTGAAAGTGTATGTTAGCAGGTTTATGTAACACTAACTATAAACTCGTATTCCCTGAGCAACTGCTGTTTTCATGTTTTCCCCTCTACTTCCCAGAGCTCTTTGGCTACAGGAAATGGTTTGAGAGACAAGGCTACATTGTCTTAAGGAAAAAAAACCCCACCAAACCAAACCAGCTTAAAATGAAGCCTGTAGTGAAGTATTGACCAATTCATAACTGTAACATTCTCCAAAGAGTTGCAATGGACTATGTTGCTGTTACATTCAAGACTTCTGAGAAGTGTTTTACAGGACAGCTGAGGAGTGACTTCCTTTCTTCCTGCCTGCCTTCCAGACCAAAAAGAAACCCTAATAAAGATGCACAAAGAGCTGGTTTGGCCCTTTTCAGCTTCTCAAAGCTGAATGGGTGTAAGGAAAGCAGAATCCATTAATCTTACGGTGGTGATGAACAGAGGTTCCCCTGTTCCACATGAAGCTACCACTCTGGATAAAACATCAGCCATTTGTTTTATCTCAAATTACTACCATACAACTTGCTCTGTCAGATTAAGTGTTTATTAAAATTAAAAATCACCATACAATAGAAACTATTTACATATTTAACTATGATAGTCTGCTTAAACTGCACAGTTTGAAGGAAGCCAATAGAAAAGAAAAGCAATGAGTATTTATGCTGCTGAACTTCCAACTGCAGGCACACTGAAGCTTTATCAAAAGGGTTTTAAGCTTCTGCAAAGTACCATCTGCCTAAATAACTGGGCTGAAGGGTGGCAAAGATGTACTGGGTTTCAGTTGTAAGAACCAGTGTCACCCTGGGGGGAAAAAAAAAAAAGTAACCATTAATCTATGCTGTAGTTACATTGCAAGTGCACTAGCTCAGCTCTTTTGGTAAGTAATTTGATTGAATATTTGACATGTAGAGTTCAGCAAACTGCATTCGCTGTTATGAATTATATACTGAGCAACAAACCTATAGTGTACTGCAGTGTAACTTGGTATCTTATTACATATTTCTACAAATGGTTTTTGAGAGTGCTAGAGCTAGTTTTAGCTTTAAAACAGATTTGAGGTTAGTTGATTAAAGCAGCAAAAATACAAGGAATATTCTTGAATAATCACAGAGGATTAAAAATTAAGATTAAAATATTTTCACTGGTAACAGTCTCAGTGACTGCAATGAAAGTATTAACTTCCTTCAAAATCCTGTGCTTTCCCAGGAACTTCAGATGATGACTTTGGCCTTGTGGGAAACTGAAGGTTGAACACAGAGCTGTCATGTGTGTCCATATTGCACTTCTGCATCTGTGATGGCTGTGTGATGCTTTGAAAATTATTTTAAATTTAGCATGAGTAATACAGCAGTAAAACAGAATCATCTTCAGTGTAAAGAGTTACATATATAAACCTTCCTTAATGGGAATCATGACACTGTTTAAAAAGTCTTGCAAGAGGTGACAGTACTCCAGATACTAATGTGAAATAACAAGGATATAAAAATAACTTTCACAATATACTGTATTTCAAAAAAGATGATTTAAGATCATCACCATGTCTTAAATCGGTAAGTTCTCCTTCATGACTTTTTCTTTTGAAAACAGCTGTTTGTGCACCTTCTTGCCCCTTTTGTAAAGGTCTCCTTGTAATGCATTGCATGACTTTTAGATCCTAAGAAGGCACTGTCAAACTGTACCAGAGCATGGTCGCTTTTCTTCCTTCTCCCTCCCCACCCCAAAAAGCCTCCTTGCTTTGGGATGCTTCTGCAGATGCAAAACACAGAGCATTTCAGGAGAACTCCAAGCTTTAGAGGAACAGTTTCAAACAAATAAAAACATTATTATTTTCTCCGCAGAATTACTTTTTCCTTCAGCATTTCAGCTTCCACACTTAGTTAAGACATCCAAACTCATGAAGTAATTGGTTTGAGCAGTCTGTCCAAAAAATAGTCTGTGCCAATGATCAATGTCAATAGAAAAAGTGTTCTTTGTTCTATGGCTGTTGTTGATACTGCCCTTCTGTTGCTGTGTAGAAATCATCAAGCACGCTCTGTAGGTAATCAAATGTTGGCCTCTCTTCTGCTCTGTCTTTCCAGCATGTTTTCATAATATCGTAAAGCTCAGCTGGACAGGTTTCCATGCGTGGCATCCGGTACCCGCGCTGAAGAGCAACCATCACATCTGAATTGCTCATACCTTCAACAAAAAAAAGAAAGGTTTGATGAAATGGTCTCAATTTCTAAAGAAATTATTTTTTCTTTTTTATTTACTTCACTCTAAAGATCTTCACCCAATAATACAAGACTGTTGCTACTTATTAAAGGTAGCTACTAATATGAGTTTGGTAAACAAGGCTGAGGTGTACACCAGCACTGAGGGACTTGCTCTGAAAATCCTGAGGGGAAGATTTCCATTTCCCCAGTTGAGTGTAGCAACCTCTTTAGTGCCAAGTCTAACGAGACTGCTGTGGGAGAGATCATAATTCTTGTCTCCAGAACCATGTCTGTTCTGTTTCTCTGACCAGTCCTGCCACTGTTTGTTCTGCTTCCAGCAGTGGTGAGATTCACAGCAAAAGTGCACCCTGGCATCAGCCTTTGTCTCTAGCTGCAGAGCTTCTAACCTGCTTGCTGCAGACCCCATCCGTATTGACACAAAGAACAGCCTACCTGTTTGACCACGCTGCCAGTCACCCTGCCCAATATAGGAACTAACAAACTATCAGATTTTATTCTACATCAGCTTTTGTGTAACTGCTGCTGATTGCAAGATACTGGACACAGTCACTTGTGATACTTGTAACAGGCCATTTCCCCTTCCTTCTTCCTCACCCTATTGTGCAAAACCATCTTGCCAGCTGTGTGGAGCTTTGCTTTGTTTCCCTGTTACAGTTTTCTTTCAGAGGATAAGAACTATAACTACCAGAATTGCACCCTGAGTTTCACATGCCAACTAACGTCACATGAGAGAGGCCTGCCCTGGACTCCATCCTCCTCTCTTTTTTTTTTTTTTTTTTTTTTTTTTTTTTTTTTTTTTTTTTTTTTCTCCTTCCCACCCCCTATTCGTCATTTTAAATCCTTGAGAGATTGATTCACAGAGCAATTTCAACACCTACTCTCAGAAGGTCAGCTGTCAGGGCTAACAAAAAGACTCACCACTTCCTACCCAGAAACCTTCCTTTCAGCTTGCCCCTTTCTCTGCAAATGTTATGCAAGCCAGTGGAGTAATTGTGCCAGGATCACCTTCTCCAGGACAGACTCTAAAGCTTTCTGTGCTCCAGTGAATGCTATTTCTTCCTATGACAGCATGCAGGAAGCTCCTGTGCTTCAGCTCGATATTTGCTATCACCAGTGAAGACTTTCCCTTTTGAGAAGGGTATTCCAGACCCCACAGCCGCTGGCTGCTCCTCAGGCTAAATGCTCCACGTGGTGCAGTTCTGCCTAAGGCTACACTTTCTCCCGGTTTTCTAAAGAACTCAGCTTCCAGTCAGCTGCGTGCAGGACGTTCAGTGCTCCTGCGTAGCCAGTTCCCCAGAGGTGCGGGAGAGCAGCTGTACCCTGCGGAGAGGAGGCAGGGCAGGTCCTGCTCCGAGCGAGATCCGCAGTGGAGATGCAGATGTGGGTTCTCCCCCGTACTTGGTGACTGTGCAGCTGTGTGGCTGCAGACTGTGGATCTTTGTACATGTTATCTGACTACTAAAGATATGATTTAAGCCACTTGGCAGGTAAGGACACATTTGAATTACAACCAAATGACAACTTTATCCTGTATAACTTCTTTGATTATTCAAGATGACTATAGTTGGCTGCAGTTCAAGCATTTTGGCTTTAACCTGTTCTAGAAATTTTGTCAGCCATGTAATCTGAGTTTGGATCAGAGTGCTTACTTTGGGCATATCTTTTGTATTTTCAGTTCCTCTTTGGAAGGAGAAGTGAAGTTTTCCTAAGCTAATACTTCACACGTGTGTAGAAAAGTATTTTAAAGGTAGCAGTGGAATGGCATATTGTCACAAAATAAGGAATTACTACTATATAAATAAAAATAAATACAGAAAGTAAGTCAATAAAGCATTTTATAAAGAACAGTGATCTGACTGCTTGAGCTTGAAGAAATGGATTGTATATAATGTATGTAGTAAAATAATTACTCATACTATGCAAAGTCTTAGTTAGCTGTGTGCTGCTACATGAGGACTGCTGCTACTGGGCTTTTGTGGAGAAAGGGGATGATTCTGTGGGTTTAAGTACTTTATAGGATTGTACCTAGATCTAGTGACTACAAGACTGATTGTTACATTCTGAGTGCCAAGGACAAAGCCTGTTTCAGCTAAGCTGCAGGAAGAGTATCTGTTAAATAATCATTTAAGTTCACAAGACAAAAATGAAAATACTTTTATCAGTACTCCACAGTAAATACCTCATGAACATACTTGCATATGATTGGGCTTTTATTTAGAACAAAAAAAGGCTTACCTGTCTACCCCACAGTTCAAGAAGTATTCTCAAAATAGCTACTTGTTTAACTTTTTTTTTTTTTTTTTTTTTTTTTTATCCTACTCAGTAGAAGATATATATCCCACATGCATATTTGTTATACTTACACCCTCTTAAATGCTAACAAAGGACGTTAGCTTTAAAGGTTTGGTACATGTCTGTCAATTTATGCTGTGGCACCTGTTAAGCTTCACAGATAAAGACATATTTCTTTACGTTACAGCCCGGGAAATGATGTGAACACAGTGGTATGGAGGAAGAATCCCACTGTACAGTAAGTAACATATCTTGTGAAGAGCAGCGGACATAATTGGAATGCAAGTATGGATGTTGCCAGTATTTGACATACTATATAATCCCCTGGAAATTAGTTTATCAACTAATTCAACTTATTTGCCCAGAGAATCAGATACTTGTAGTTCCTGAAAATATCATCCCATTAAATGCTTTGAGTTTCTCAGGAAGAGAAACAGCTGTTGGAATTTAAGAACAAAGATCACAAAAGCTCTGAGTTTCTTGCCCAGAAATGCTTCCTACCAAGTTGCCTGCCTAGATTTTCTTCACAGGTATTAACTACTTACCAGTTTAAACTCAAACCGTTTCATATGCAGCATTATGTTGAATACTCTTTAGTTGCTGGAGCTGGTTGATAGTTGAAAATAATATTTTGAAGCATTCCTATTAGAACTGAGAAATAAATGTACTGTTTCTCTCCAGTGGCTACTGGTTACAACTTAACACCAGGTTACTCTTGCCATGCTGGGGTAATTTTCTCAAACCTGTCACATCTCTTCATGTAAATTAGTCACCCATTTATTTTGCTGTCCTTCTGGTTCTTCAGTATCAACTTTCAGTCTAATAGGCTATTTCAATTTATACTTCTATTTAAAATAGACATATATCCCTCTTTCAGTGTAATGAAAGCAGTGTCTACAAACTATTAAAATCTTCCAGTATGTAATCAAGAGTCTTCTGCTTCTAATTGCTGTTTGATAAATGAATCTGCAGTGTATGGCCTGTTTATGGTGCTCATAAAAATGCTTCCATATTAAAAAAAAAATATTGCCCAGACTTCCTGTAGAAGAGACATTTTCCCACAATAATACAGCAGTACCATGTCTGCTGTACAGATTGATTTTGTTCTTCAAATAAAATATGATATGTTTTACGGAGATAAAGAGAGCAGACTTAGCTGCAGCATTAAGTATTGGATTGTGTTTTGTATTTTTGTAGTGCTGGTTTCCAGTTGAGCTCGTAGGTTTGCTCAGGGAAGGACAATTTTCAAGGCATCCAGAAATAACCTTGTGAGCCCAACTCAGCATAGGCTACTGTATGGATATATAGGCATATGCTAACAGGAAGAAAAAAAAAAAAAAAAAGTATCCCAACTGTGAGAAGAACGATGCATTAATCAGCTGCATACAACTCCCATCTGATCCTTCTTGGGGACATGAGCAGTGTTTGGAATAGCTTTGGGAGGGCCTACTACTCAGGCACATATTTTATAGCCCTTACCTAAAAAACAATCCCAGAGCATATGTTTAAACACATAGCTGTGCAAGCAGCCCTATCACCTCTTGAAATTTAAGGGTGCTACTCTTGAACTTATTGCTCAGTAAGGCTCCAGTCCAGGAAAGCACTTGAGAATGTCTGGTTTGGCTCTATCTCTTGTATGGAAAGTTGATATGTTCTTCCATAACACAGTATAAAGTCGGCCACCATCACCCCTTTCCTGCTGCCTGAGTCTTGCAGGTGGTTCAGTCTCCCTGTATCCAGAGGTGTTGAGCCCACTGTCATTTCAGTGACTTGGGTGTCTGCTCCTTTGCCATCTCTGGCAGTTCAGGATTCAGAATTCCAGCTCCTCATGAAGTGGTGATGAAAATGTTTTCACTGTTGAAATGGCAAGAGCTGCTGCACTAGAAGTGCTGGGAAAAAGATTTGCTTAGATGAAATATCTGCTCTCCCTTTACTGCCTGTAAACAGCAGGATCCTATGGCTTCTTCTCAGAAGTTACTCCAATGTATGAGATGTGCAGTACAGGTGAACACGGCTGTACTCTCCCTATTTGCCCATAAGATCAGAGAATGTAGGTCAATTTTCCATAACTTCAGTAAGCTTAAATGAATGCAGTCTGCTGCCCAGAGTTAATCAGCTATGCCTGAGATGTGATGATTTTGCATGCATAAAAATACCCTTCATAGAAGCTGTCTCTGTCTGCTGGAAACATTAACATATATTTTGCTTAACAGAAAGAAAAATTAAACATGAAGCACATAACCATTTTGCAGCTACCTAATGCAGGATGTGTTCCTCTGTGGTCTTGCACCTGAACGGTATGGAACAACGAAGAGTAAATATTCCTAGCAGTACACCAACACTGCTTTAGGGTCTGCTTTCATATTTGTTTAGGTTAGCTAACACTGACAAATTATTACAGCCTATTTGTTAGTGAAAACATGCTTTCTTAGTACTTTCACATATCACGATATTAAAAACCCCCATTAGAACACGCAGCACTGCATCCTCACTACGGGACTGTGCTGCTGACCGTAAAGCCAGGATCAGTGTCAATCGTCCTTTGCTGCAGCTGTAACACCTTTTGAATAGATAAAAATGATTGTGTGTTCATGGTGCCATGAGTCTGTTTGCTGAAATCTACCCCAGAGAGGCACATGGTTTACACACACAGTGACTACAAGTTTTCAAAGCAGTAACATTACTTGCAAGACATTTTCCAAACTGCTGCTGTGACTACCATCAGATGCCAGCTCCTTCCCTACGTACTTTCTTTGCTTTTTAACACCAGAGTATAAATACAGAGTAACGGTATAAACAGAGGCACATACCTGGATAAGGAATCTTTCCGTATGTAACAATTTCATACAGGAGAATCCCGAATGACCACACATCAGATTTGATAGTGAAAGATCCATAGTTAATTGCCTCTGGTGCTGTCCATTTAATAGGGAATTTTGCACCTAAAGAAAAGTAGTGTCAATCAGTCAAAGGCAAATTTAAACACTCTGTATCAAGTCACTGAAAGGTCTTAATCAACTTGCCTATGATTCCCCTAAATTAGCAAAGTTACCAGCAACTCCTCCTCTCCAAGAGTTATCAGCAGAGATGTGCTGCAGGATGTATGTTGCCACACTGCATGTCCTGCGTCAGAGGTTCAAATAAGATGCCGAAAGTTACATAGCACCTTTTGACTCTTAGGTATGGTGACTTTTTGTTAAAAGTACACCATTTTGCCTTCTGCCCAGTGGTCAGGCAACAATCTTACCATTCCCATCACCTGGAACTTCACAAGACTTTAACTAATTTTTCCTGTTTTAATGAAAGTCAGTCTAGCTTCAACATACACTTGAATGCATTTCACATTCAGCCATTGATGCAAAAGCTGTAGCAAGTCACATCTTAAAAAGTAGTATCTGAAAATACTGTCCTTTGTGTCTAATTAATTGATTCCAGAAAATCCCATAGAAAAGCAAAAATAAAAGTTCAAGCAGCCTTTGTTGGAGAATATTACATTAGCTCTTCAGATTTCTCTATGCCCTCTTTAGCCTGCTCTATCTTTCTGGTACAAAATACCAGGTAAGCTAGGAAACTTTTCTGAATGGCAGAAAACACATCAAAGAAACTCAGCATAAAGAATTTATAACCTGAAAAGTTCATTTAATCAATACAGAATCTCCAGAGCTAGCTAAAAACCACAGATGTAGGTTCTGTACCTCTGAAAACTGCTTAATCAGACCCTTTTCTCTGATCTACTGAATTACTGTTACCCAGTGACTGCTGAATAGTGCATCTTCCTTTAATCTCAACTGTAGTGCATTGTTCTCTTTCTTCCTCATGCTTTAGTTCTTTCACTTTTGTCCTACATTACCACAGTTTCCACCCAGACTGTGTGAAAATATGATGTGCTGTCTTTAAAAGAGAGGGGGAAAGCCAGCCAACAAACCTGCTCCAAAAAGTTACCCTAATGCAATCTGTGAACAGAAGCATAAATAAAAACTTTTCACTGCAGCAACTGACTAGGCACTTCCTGAAAGGATCCTTGACAACATTAGCAAAACATGTGGCAAAACCCAAATATCTTAAATAGTATGACTTCCCCTCTTGTCAGTTCTGACCCTGCTGAGATGTTGCCTCCCATCCCTGTGCTGAACAGGGACATGACCCAGCACTCCTCCAGTATCTCTGTACAGAGCAGCAGTGCTGCTGAGCACGCAAATCAATGCTGCGGTTCCTAAAGCAGCTTCAAAAGATGAAAAGGTTCTCTTGTTACCAACAACTACAACCTGGAGGGCTCCCTCCTTTCCCTAAGTGAAAGAAGGTGCGTATGGCATTGAAGGATGTGAAGAGAAAATAAAATTATTATTTTCTTGGCATTAATTCAGTGGGATGCAAGCTGTGGCTGTGCAATTAATTTGTTCATTTTAGAAAGACTTGTGTGCAGTTAAGTACTCTCAATTTTCTTTGGTCTTCAAATTTATTTAAATAAACTTTGCAAAAAGCCTGGGGAGCACAGGAAGGTTATTTCTTTCCTTACTCTGTTTTTTTTTGTAATGTTGTTGGCATTAGAGTGCTGCTTCTAGGAAGTTATCATGGCATTTTCTATCCTTGGGACCATATTATTGTTAGATACAGCCTCACTGCCTCCCAGAGCCTAAAGTTTTAGAGACAAAAATAAAAATACATACCTTCCCTTGCTGTATATTCGTTGTCTTCGATGACTCTCGCTAGTCCAAAATCAGCAATTTTGCACATCAGTAAGTCTGAAACCAGAACATTTGCTGCTCTCAAATCTCGATGGATATAATTTTTTCTTTCTATATATGCCATCCCTTCTGCAATCTGTAACCAAAGAAACAGCTATTTTTATATTTCAACACCACACAACAGCATCGTCAGGTCTGATCTCTGTTCTTTCAAGGTATCAGCAAAGCTGCATCCATTTATTCATTACCAGTGTCTTTGGAACATTTTTTATATGGAAGCAAGGAAAAGGTGATTGCAATGGAAAACCTATCTGTAGGCCTATCTTGCAAAACTATACTTAAAGTAGCAGCTTCAAAAAAATTGTTTGAGTGAATAACAGCTGGCAGGATTAGACATACGTATTAGAAACATTTCCTGAAACAAAATCTTAATTAAAATGTTCCTAAGATTTCTACTAAAATATTCTCTTCCCCAAGTTATTAATCAGTTTGTTTTCCACATACTAAGGGAATACAAGGAATTAATAAGTTAAACAAGATACAGATGTTCTTTTAAGGATTGATGAAGCAAAAGGGCAGATAGAATTTTAAAAAATGCCAACAACTTTATATCCAGTATAGGCATGGACAATCAGGAAACAATTATTAAGATAGGGCAAAAAACTTTATTTTTTTCCACAACAGTGCGTACCTGTTCATACATGAGGAGTGTCTGGCAACAGCCAGCTCTCAGATACTATCATAAGTAAATTTAAGTTGTATTTCAGCAGCCCAAATGAATTTCCAAACCAAATTAAAGATGATTATTGCAATCAAAATATGCACTGAGGATTATTTTATCAGTACTTGCCCAGACTACCTTTTTTTTCTTCCCTGAAGAAAAAGATTTTACTTTTCAGAAAAAAAAGAAACAATAGTTTCTAAACTCAGAGCAATAAAACTGATGTGTAGATCATATTCTGTCCAAAAGTTTAAGAGGAGCTAGGAAAAAATAAAAATAAACTCAGTGCTTGTGAGCCATTAGGTCTTCTCTTCTTTGTGAGACTCTGGTGATGGGCCATTCCCAGGCAAGGCTCATGGTCCAACCTGTGCCACAGGCACCTCTCCAGGATGCCTGTGGGTGGGGGACAGACAGCTCTCTCTCGGCCACATGGGGAATGCACAAGCTCTCAGATTTGCTAATGAAGCAGCAGTAAAGCAATTGTGTCCTTCTCCAGTGCCAGTCCCCAGCACACTCATACATGGGTTCTTTCTTCTCCACCCCAGGAGAAGACAAGTGCACAAATCCCTCCTCAGCACCAGAGGTGCTTGTTTCAGATGTGCAGTAAAGCAAGCAGGAGCACCCGACCAAATTTTAAGAAAACATTAACATCACCTCTGCTTATCCATTTTTAAAAAGTCCCCAAGGGGTTCTGCAAAGACACACTGTCACCACTTACAACACAAAACCACATGGTCTTTGTTCCTCTTTTTCAGTTTAAGCAATGGAAAAATAGAGCCACTTGCCCTCCCACCTCCTTCTACTGCAAACATCTTCTTACAAATCAATATATCCTTCAGAGTGTTACACTGCCCTTGTACAACACAGGGGAGTTCTCACACTAAACCAGAAAGAAACTCCAATGATGAAGAGAATAAACACCTGCTTTTTACATTTTCTAGAAATAAGTAAGATGTTTTATAATGTAGGAAGCAGCTACTAGTGAATAATTGCTACAGAGAGTCTTACTAGAGACTTACAGACAAAATAGTAGAGCAGTATCTGATTAGAGACTGCTCTGCCTCTCTTCCCCCGCCATGTGATTAATTGGGTTTGGGGAGGAATGAGAAATGAAGGAGAAGGTTTTGCTGTAAGATTGCTGCTGAGATTGGACTGGCCAGCTTGGTAGATATGAACAAAATGCAGACAGGTCTGCTAACATCACAAAAAAATACATCAACCATCACAAAAAAATAAACTTTCTTCTTACTTCCCTGCACAGATTTAACATTTGGGTGAACTGCTGGCTGGGAAATGAAGAACCACTTCACGAAAGAGACATTCATGGTGGTGATATTTAGTTTCCAAGCCCAACCAAGCAAAGCCATGGGAAAGACCATTTTATTTCCTCTTATTTGTGCCAGTCTCACTGAAGTCACCCTCTGATTAATCACAAATGAAGAATGTGACATCAAACAATCCATTATGTTTTCAGCAAATAGAGAGTCTATTTCCGTGAAATTCCAGGACAATGGTTTTGACTAAACTGGATCACAGATATTCAAAGACACCATGTATGTGCAAGCATTCAGGCATGCAAAAAATTTCCAAGTAGGAAAAGAATAATGGGCAAGGAATTTTGACTGGGAGAAGGAGGGAAAACACAACTGGACAACTGAATTCACACATCTGGTCACATTAGACCTTTGTGGGACAAGAAAAAAAGAAAAAAGAGGGTTTTTTGATCAAGGCAATGGGTGCCAGAGCCCATGTGATAGCTCTTTATGATAATTGTTAGGTCTTCATTGCCAAATGATATGTTAAATGTAGAGAAATTCATGGGAACAAAAGAAAATGAAAGCCTTTCCCCCCCCTCTTTTAATGATCATTGCTACCTGTCAAGACTGTTCGGCTACATGTAACTACTACTCAGGAGCAGTATGGGAAAGCTAATTTGGGCTTCTGGAATATGTTTTATGGACTTTAAGAGAGGATTCTGCCTACACTGCACAAGCATTACTACCAAGAAGGAAGCAGTTTCCCCTTCACCTTTAATGTACTACTGACATGCTTCTAGAAATGCCCAAGTTAAATCCTTTTAAAAACAACCAACCAACCATTCTCTAAATACTACGAACTATGCACCCAGGGTAAGAACGGAAGAAAGGTTTTCTGGAAGAAATAAATCACTCCACATGACAGCCTCTGTACGGTAAAGCTTCAGCTAGCAGTCACGCAATAAATGAATGACTTGGAGCTACAGTTCTGCAGACAGCTCTGTCACCCATTTGGGGAGTGATTTCAGCTGGCAGCGCTCTTTCCTCTCTGTTTCTGCTCTTTGTGCCTGTAAAACAGGGTAAATAATGTTCTGGAACACTTGTGGGTCTTTTCATAAATAGGTATAAAACTCTTTCAAAATCCTGACAGAAAATGGTAACAAAAGCACAGAGCAGTGTTACTTTGAAAACACGCGTTCCCTACTTTCTGACCCACTTTATATAGCTTCTGAAGGAGTTTGGAGAAAGCAACAAAAGCAGCAAAGGACTTTGAAGCAGGGAGGTGAGCCAGCATTTCAGGAGAAGACACTCTACTGTCACAGAAGAACTACACCATCTGAAAAGCAAAAAGCACTTGGTCACAATTCAGAGTCTTCCTTGGTGAAACATCACCGCTGATGTTAAACAGCACATAGAAGAATGGGCAGTTCTGTGCTTCTCTTTTTTTTTTTTTTTTTTTTTTTTTTTTTTTTTTGCTTTTTTTGCTACAAAACCAGAGGACTTCTGGATCCCTTCATAGCTCTGTTTTTCAACTCAAAGACATGTTTGATTTCAGCTTCCATTCCAAGGGCTGTGATTCTCTTTTGCAAGAGTTGTTTCAAATAAGCCATGTTTTACACATAGTTTGCAATGCAGAGAGGGGGTTATGGTAACACATGTAATGGATTCTGCTTATGCATTTCTAGGCTGTATGTAAAAATGTGGAATAGTAAAGAGGCCAGATGGGTTTGCTTAATGTCAGCTTGATAGGATGTTTTTACATCATGCTGAGAACATACTATATCATGTTGAGAAGCAAAACTAAATAACAGGGATCATGACACAGAGCAGAATGAAAATGAAAGGGAATGGCAAATATGAAGGTTTTTTTTAATCAAGAAAGCAAGTTTTAAACAACCTGGAGGGGCTGACAGGTGCAACCTCATGGGGGAAAAAAAAGTCACAGGAACAACCACACCATCAGTAAAACAGTAAGTGCAAGGGTAAATCACACATCATAAAGACAGTACCTGATAAGAAAAATTTGACCAAATCACACATGATCGGAAGCATCCAAAATTATAAAGTCAGATTTCAAAATATTAAAAAAATACCACAATATGAAAAATATCAGAAGAGCTCCCCCTCCAAAGTCCTACAATTAGTAAGTAGGGGTGCATTAGTAACAGGACAAGACCAAGGAAAACATTCACATTAAACAGATGGAGAACACTACATACAAATGCTACAGAAAAGTTTTTAAATGCCTGCCTTTGCCTCAGTCTCCACTGAAAGGGCCAAGGATGCACAAGTTTGTGGTTAACACGAATGCCAAAGGGGTAACAATGCAGGATGGAAAAAAGGAAAGAACGGGGTTAGGACAGTTTAAGTGGATTATGAGCGGTTTATGAGACACCTGAAAACTGTCAGTAAATCCAAAGCAGGCAAGCAAAATGGGGAAAAAATATAAACGATGAATCAGTATTTAAAGTTGGACCTTTTTTTATTTATTTACAAATGAAATAAACTCCAGGAAAAACACCCAAAAGGGTATGACCTACAATTTCCAAAATACTGAGAAACAGCTAGACTAAGAACCTCTCCAATCCTTTCTTGCCCTATTTTAAACCAAAATCAGGTAGAAATGATTACTTAGAGATGGTTTAGGTATACTTACAAAAGTTTTCCCTTTACATTGACAGATGTGACTTTTTACTCTTTGCAGGATCTGTGCTATAAAACTACATGTGAAACCACAGGCAGTGGAAGGCAGGGATATGTGAATAAAGGCATCTTCGAAATTCCCTCTGTGTTGCTGCTGCCCGTGAGACAAGCAAAGCTAATCCACTGCACCTGCTCCCTGGGGCTACATGGGCTGGAATGCTGCCCCTGAGGGTCCAGCTGTGAACAGGACATCCTGGCCACATCCCCTGTCCTTTGCTCGGCAGGTGGGGGACAGTGGCCTCAGAGCTGCTCTCACCTGCCCACATGGGGTGCTCAGGCCCACGGCTCGGTGGGATGCTCCTGTCAAAGCAGGTAAAGCTGCCGGAAAACCAGACTGGAAACGAGTTCATAGCACTTAGTGTGGGAGGGAGGGAGCATCCCCCCAGTGAATTTTAAGCAGAGGAAATAATGGAGTGTATCCTGAGGTTTACACTGCCTTAAATTTGGTAATTCTCA